TTATCAGTTTCATGAAGAAAGATGCAGTTATTGTTATCTACTTTTGGTATTTTCAAATCCTAAACTTGAACCAACATTCWCATAGTATTGATTGAATTCGTTTACTATTGAATTTTGATCATAGATTTCCTTGTCATCTTTTACAAAGTACTGTGAAATACATGAAGGTGTTTTATGGTTTTTCAAAACACTATCCACTACTCTCCATGTTGCTTTCATGTTACCCTTACTTTTATTTCGCTGTAGTATTCCTTCTTATTTTTTCTTATGATCCATACCAACTTGTTTTTATACTTCATGTTTTTCTCATCTGCTTCATTTTGTTTCAAGAAGCATAAATACAAGTAATTCTTTCTTTACAGGCGTTCGTTAACCCAATGGTCATCCATGGTTTGTGAACATTTGTCTTGTGACAGTTTCTTTGCATACAATATTTTTCATGCAAAGTTTCCCAAATATTCATAAACACATCATAAGCTCTGTTTACATCATCAACATACACATCGTGCCAGTTTTTTTTTTTTTTTCAATTTGTCCAAGGATTTTTTTTGGATGTATTTATTCATTTTTTCTTTATTGCAACTGCTTTTTCAACATCGTTTTACATGGTTCTCAGTAAAGTACWCAGATGTTTTGTTCATTGATTCTCTCCTTTTCATTGTCTCATTCCTCCTCCATCGATCCATCCCTCCATCCATCRGTTTGTGGATCCATCTGGGACTGTGTGCAGACCTGGAGATGGACAGTGTAATACAGGACAGTGCATGGGGGGCCAACCCACTAAACCACTACAGTCCAAGTTCAGGTAGAACTCCTGAGTGTTACAACCTCCTTACTCCTGCTCTGCTCTGCTCCTGCACTCTAACACTTTTCTCTGAGATTCACTGTATTTTCTGCTCTTTGTTCTGTTCACCTGAATGACTAACCCTTCATGAGCTGTCTCCTCACATCAGTTTTCTTCTGTGATGGTCCCCTGWGAGACCTGTGGTCACATCTSGTTGAACAGMAAAGATGGTCTTCCAGGGCTCTAAGACTAACRTTTTGCACTGGTTGCACCGGTGCGCCTAACATTTTTTCTTAGGTGCACCAGCACAAAAGTTAGGTGCACCCAAATTTTCAACCACGTCACATTTAACATCGGAGTTTTACAGGTTATTTTTTAAATCACTGTTCATTAAAGCAACATTAACTCGAAAATAATTAGTTAACAATCTAGTAAACATGAAGTTCTTTATTTGAACCAGAATTGTAGATATTTAACTTACTGAAAAGTATTTAAAGTGACTCTATAAAATTCTAAGTGCAAATGTTTAAGAGCTGAACATCTTACAAAGATCTTAAACATTTCATGGTTAAATTTTTTTAGACACCTGCCCCTCAGATGGACAACTATGGATCTTTGGCCTTGGATAAACCAGAATGATGAAGAGAGAAAAATGATTAATAACAGAAATATTACTGATATTTATTAAAAAGTTGTGCAGATTCTTTAAATAATAAATAAGAAGTCTGCAATTTCATCATTAGTTGAATCTTATTATCTTATATTATTTCACTTAAATATCTAATATGTCTAGTTTTATCCTCCTGAGACCCAGAAGAACCTATTTCAGATACTTGGAATGTAACTGTGGTGAAGTCGATTAAGTGCAAAACCAGCCTGCCATACACGGGAGCTTCCTAGTCCTGCTGAAATGATCTGCAGCGCTCAGACCCCGACTGTTAAATTAACTAGATGGACGAGCGAGCAACCGTCCACATCTTGTTTTCATCTCCAGCTAACAAGAAAGAACTGTTTTTCAGACTTCGATCTGGGTTAAAAAAAAAAACTATGGTTGTTTCGCTATGTGTGCGCGCGCGTGCGTGTGTGTACAGATTTTTGCTTCATGGTGGGTACAATTATTG